TTACATTCTCAACTTTAATTTTTATTATTATTATCTACTTAAGCAGAAAACATTCTTTTTCACAAAAAGGCTATTTCATTGTACAGAAAGAGCTAAATAATCATGTAAATAATCTCAACAATAGACCAACAAAGATAATTTTATATAGAAGAGATTTCCAAATTTCCAACAAAAGGAAATTCAATTATAAACTGTCGGTCTTGTTTAACAAACACAAACTGGTTTTGGTGTCTTGATTGGTGGTCTTGATTAAAAAGTTGTTCAAGGTGTTGTTAATGTGAAAAAAATAAATTTAAGCAAAATCTACTCTCCAATCATACCTGTGCTAGTTCTCGGAGACCATTCTGACCCACACAAGGGTACTTCTCAAGTAGTTTCATTCTTTTCTCCTTCAGAAGATCAATCTGTTGCAACACATACCATCCTTCTAGTTTCCAGAAGATCAGCCCTCCAACAAGGACATAGGCTACATAAATAACTCCAAGGAACAGGATAGAAGGAGTTAGACTGAGAAACTGGCATAACTTTCCCGAAAACACGGGGTGCATGGTTCCTTTGGTCGCCTGGCTCACCTGTCTGCCAATGCAGCTATAGGATGGTGCTACTGGGTGTGGATTTACTCTGTTTATGTGACAGGCAAATCACCCCCTTGTGTAATGAATGCCAGTCAGACCTTATGACCTGGCATGCAAATGTTGATTGAAAGAGAGCAGAAGACAGTCAGTGAGGAATTAAAGAGGGAGATTGAAGTGGTTAGAAGCTACAGTCAGTACTCTCTGCCAATGGTTTAATGTTCTTGTATCAAAACTTAGCTTATTTGGTTGTTTACATAAATCAATTATTTCAAAGAGTACCTAAGCACACACCAAAAACAGGAAAGTCATCTGGTCATCTGTATGTCTCGCCATAAATTCATCAAAGTATTATGTTTACTTTAGATCTGTCTGATCTACAGCCTTGCCAATGGCAACCATAAGAACACACACTTACACATATGTGCTAATACATGAAGCCTCAACATTTACTATTTTCAAATTTCTGAACCACTGCACTTGAGCTCAGTTATGTAGGTATGAATAAATAAAGAAATAGATATAGTTTGTGTTATGGTCATTTGAATATGTATTTGAATATGGTTTAGGTTAAAAAAACAGATACAAGAATAAACATAAGATATGTGCACAAAATTGATCTGTGTTAGGATAAACAGGTGAAATGTGTTTTAATATCAGATCAAAAAAAAAAACTCTCAAAACCCATATTCATAAAGTTTAATTTAAAGGGGTCATATGACGTTGCTAAAAAAGAACATTATTTTGTGTATTTGGTGTAATGAAATGTGTTTATGTGGTTTAAAGGGGTCATATGATACGATTTCAATTTTTCCTTTCTCTTTGGAGTGTTACAAGCTCTTGGTGCATAAAGAAGATCTGTAAAGTTGCAAAGACTAAAGTCTCAAATCCAAAGAGATATTCTTTATAAAAGTTAAGAGTCAACCACGCCCTCCTTAAACGGCTCGTTCTAACACACCCCCACATGTCTACGTCACGATGTGCGAAGATTTGCATAACACCGCCCAAATGTTCACGCAAAGAAAGAAGACGTAACTTTTATTCTCGCTGTAGTATAGTTGCTGCCGCCGCCATGTCGTGAAGGCGCTATGTGATTCGTTGTGAAAGCGAAACTACTTTGTTTGGCCTTCCAAAAGAGGACGATATCCACTTCGTCATGCCTAGAGCTGATCCGTGCTGGTCGCTGAGAAAATACATCAACTTCGCGCTGTGAATCGCCGGATCGGCTTTCACCATGGACGAAGCAGAGTCCAGCCCGGGGTCATCACATGTGGTTGCCACAAGCTCCACATTCTAGCCCGCCGTGTGTGAGACGCTGTGCGTTTCGTTGTGAAAGCGAAACTACTTTGTTTGGTCTTCCAAAAGAGGACACAACTAGAAATCAGTGGTTAAGTTGTATTTACAACACTGTTCCAGAACAGTACAACCCAAATATTCAGATGTGTGCAGCGCATTTTACGGAGGAC